ATTGAGCTATCATTTGTGGCCAGGTCGCTTCTGAAAAGAGCTGTATAGCTCAGTGGGCCTTACATGGTAAACTAAAACATAGTTATAGTTGACATAGTTTTAGTTCATAAAAAAAATAGTCAAACACGCTCAGATTACACTATAGAGTGTCACCATATTTATTTTATTTAGTTTGTACATGTGTGGTGATCTTATCCATCCACTGGTCAATGAGGCTCTTCCGCATGCTGTTTGTGTCACAGGGGTTATTTAATCGCACTGCACCGCACTAATCAGTGCAGGGTTGGCTAAGGCAGGCGAGACTAGACTTGGGAGCATACACGTTGAATACAACAACGGATCTTGCTACCTTGCCCTCTGCTACCCATAACGTTGCCCAGTAGCAACCCACAGCACCTCTAATTTCATGCTGTAATTGATTTGAGGATAAAAATTAACCCGTAAAAACAAAGTTTTTCACTATAAATCCTTTATATGCGTGGCGGCTAGAGTCCTCTCGTCCTCTGGCTTGAGATGGCTGCCACCTATGGGTCAGATGATTGCCTGCCACCATTAAGCAATTGGTAATTAAATATAATTAATTTTTTCTTAAAAAGTGTAAAATTTTTGAAAAAATTTTTCACGAAAATAAATTGTCACGCACAACGAGTCTGTGTGCAAAATGTCAGCTCGATTGGATCACGGAAGTGGGTTAAAAAACGACCGAAAGATTTGCACGGTCGTAAGCGCGCAAGCAAGCAAGTGAACTTAATATAAAGGATTTAAAAACACGCCCGTGCTCCAGCACTGTGACGCTCCATTCCCACGCGCGTGTCGGTGCCATACCTCCACGTGGCAGGGACATTTTAGGAGCGCAAAATGTGGACTAATCTCCATCTGTTCCATCTGGGTGGGATAGAGTATTGTCCCCTCGCACGTGTGAACTTTGACCGGGTGCTCCCGATTACCTCCCATATGTAAAACACTCAATAATTGGCTGAAAACATCTTGGTATGTATAGAGGGCCGTAGAACTTGGGCGATTGTTGGTAGAACCGGCCGGCTCACGGCCTGACTGCTACCTTGCTGCTTGTATGTGGTTCCTCGCACCTGTGAATGGTTTTGTCACTACGAGAATCATTGAATACTGTGAGTAGAAATTATATATTAAAATTGGTATTAAAAAAGTGTGGAAACAGAAAATGTGGGCTCTCTGCAGCTGTTGGTGGGTTGACCAAAGTCAAATCCAATTTTTTCATTTGGGTTAAAGTGATACATTTGATCACTTTTTTTGTGATCATTGTTTTAAGTACAGCAATAATAATGCAAAGTGAGGCAAGAGCACACTCGCTCTCGAAGCCTGCGCTACCAAGCACAGCCTCCAACTTGCGGTAAAATAATATGCTTTATCTCCGGATGCAATAATCGTTTTAATAATACGGCGATAAATATTGAGGTGACAAGTGCACACTTGCTCACGCGCATTGCGCATGCAAGCGCTCTGCTGCTGCAGCTGCTGCTGCTGCTGCAGCTGCTGCTGCTGCTGCAGCTGCTGCTGCTGCAGCTGCTGCTGCTGCAGCTGCTGCTGCTGCAGCTGCTGCTGCTGCAGCTGCTGCTGCTGGCGGCCAGGGTGCGCCGCGTTCGTGTTTGTGATCGCTATCACTTGTTGGTCAGTCCATGCCGCACAATCGCTCCACAGCAGAGTGTATTCCCCATATATACTGAGGCCTTCCTCACATTTGACCTCCCCTCCCAACGGGGCCTGCTCCCAGACAAACAGAAGCGGCAATATCCAAGATGTCTCAGCTCATCGGCAAAGGCATACATAACATGGGTGGGGCGCGGGGGGGACCAACGCTCCCCGCGGCTCCCGCCTTAAAGGGGAAAAGATTGCCTATCGATCCATCGCTAAATATTCAGCACGGGATTCTGGCAGGGCGATGGCGAGGCCTGAAGGGGAGTAGCAACCCCCCCCCACCACCCTTCTGTCAGGATTGGGGAGGTGCTGTCTCATCCAGCAGTGGAACTCGGCACAAACAAACCGTACTCTTAGGTGTTGTCGGTAAAGTCACTTGATACAGCAATCGTGCTGTGACGGTTCCACCTGAAGACGGAAGCTTGTGTTGCCTCCGAAACGTCGTGATTTTTTATTTTATTTTATTTCTATTATTAGTTTTATTAATTTTTATTTTATTGCTTACCTACGTGACTTTACCCAAAAAACCTAAGAGTATGAATCCTTGCAGTCACGAAAGCTTCAAATCTAGAACAAGCAGACCGAGCAGAAGCTTAGCGGCCCAAGCAGGCCAAGGAAATCCGGATTCAGGAAAAAACAGGGGTCGTCTCAAATTATAATCCTAATTACCACAAGAAGCTAAGTAGCATAAGAAATAAATTAATCTCTCTCATTTCCATCTTGTCTGCATCTCTCCTCTCTCATCTGACTACGACATCCCCAATTTTGTCCACAAATTCCCATACGTCATTCCATCTAGCATCCTCATGTCTATGCATCTTCTGTCATATCACGAGGATTTTCGTTTGAAATGGGCCTTCCCCCCAAATGGCTTGGAAAACACCATGCTCGTCCAATCAGGGCCAGGAGCCGAGGTGGAGAGACGGTAACTACCTCGCCTGGTGTACAGGAGGTCGTGGGTCAATCCCGATCCTGACGCCTGCTGTATATTTGCAGTTTGCATGTTCTCACCGGTTTTTCCCTCCACATTTATGAACATACCTTTAAAGCATTTGGCTGCTATACATTTTCACGTGATAAGCCACTTTATTGGGCTATCATTAGTCGCTTCTGAAAGACGAAAAAGAGGCCAGCTGTATAGCTCAGTGGGAATTACCTGGTCAAATAAAAAACACCAGTTTAGTTTTCAGGTGCCGGGAGTCGGGGTGGCCGCAATCGGAGGCCGCTCCCTCTCGCTGCCTCGACTCCACCGGGCACCGGCGTGGGCTCGGCCCGCGGTTCCCCGCGACACACGGCGGCGGCGGCGGGCCGAGCGCGGAGCGGCGGTGATGGAGGGTGCGACGTGACCGCGCTGACAGCTTTATACTTTCGGCTTTAAGCCGCTGATGTGTTATTAAATGTTCCTGCCAAAAGCTGTTTCTGTAAGAAAGTGAGCGAGCAGATAAAGTTGGCGCCGGTCGTCTCTTCACTTTTGCCCATAGCAGATCCAAGGCTTCTGATAAATGCAATCTGCGATTGTGGGTCTTCGTCTTTTATTTATTTCATTCAAAGAATCGCACGGCACGAGGACAGTTTTAGGAGTGTGTTCATTCCAGTTCTTTATATTCTGATTGTGCGGCGGTAAATATAGAATCCAATGCTGATGCTATCGAACGGAATGAATTGTTATAACAATACTGTGATGTATACCTTCAACAGGGAGAGAAGTGCTCGGCTGGCCCGTGAAGGCAAACTGCTCTCTGGGACTGCTGCTTGCGTTAGAGGAATTGAGACAGTGTTTAGGGAAAGAATCCAACATGGCCATCATATTAAATAGGTAATTAGACAAATCATGGACTCCAGATTAGCTTATGTTCCCTGTAATGTTGCTCGTAAGTTCTCCTTTCTCCAGAGAATGCACATAATTAAATAGATTTGCATAACATTTTAAACAGCCATCAGCATTTAATTAGCGTGCCACTGCAGAGTGCGCTTTGCCGCTCTGTGCGAGGCGCCAGATCTACATTGTAAACTGCTAATTTACAACTGTTTCATTACCAGCTGCAGCGGCTCATTTAGACTTCATAACGCAACTAAATGGCAATTCATTGCGGCACACCGCTTATTCATCAACGCCGCACAGCTGGGCTAAACAGCGCCCATCAAAAACATAAATATGCTTAGCGGAGGCCGCAATTCCCCCGATATTGTTCGGGGCGCAAAAAATATGTCTCGGGAGATAGTTGCGGATGACGTCGCGCCGGATCGGGGTGGCATCGGATGTCATCATTATCATCATTATCATCATCATAATCCTCATTATTATTGTTGTTAAAACGGACGCACCGAATGCCGACTCCGATATGAATCGTTCGGCGTTCCCAACGCGGTTGATGCAGGGGGCTTGCATTGCTTTGTTTTTTCACCCCTCCCCCCACCACGAACCACCAACCTTCCTCATCCCCACAATGATTCGTTTTAAAATACGTTTTAAGGGAGAATTGCTTTTAAACTAAATCCATCTCTGAATTGAGGCCAGTGCCTTCCCATCACATTAAAATGCTGCGCCGGACGTTAAGCTTATTACGGCTTTATAGCGCTGATACGTCGCTGCCGAATTAATTTTCCGAACGGCCCCGATCATCGCTAAATACCTAGGGGACTAATCATAATCCGCTCTCTGCCCACGTGCGTTCGCCGGCAGCTGTGTGCTCCAATAAAACAAACAGCCGCTTTCACGCCGCAGCCGGCTCCGTGATGGCGAGCCTAATTGAAATATTGTTCGGGTGTCGCGCAGATTACATTAAGTGGCAGCCTAATAATTTGACAGGGGAGTAATAGAGATGTCCGGCACCGCGAACCCCCCCCCCCCCCTATCCTCCTCCTCCCCATGAATGCAAGAAATGAGGTGTGATCGCTAACAGCTGCTTTTATACCCCGACGGCCGTGCCGTCTGCCGCGAGGCGTCACGCGACGCGCCGTGCGAGATGATCCCAGCGCTCCTCCGAGAGCCCCCCCTCCATCCACACCCCCCCCCCGTATCCACTGTGAAACCTTCAGCCGTTTCCCTAACGCGAGCAGAGAAACATCATGCTTTGTCACGGGGGGAAAGGGAAGAAAGAAATGTCACGTAAATTGGAATTGCGCGCAGCATCTAAGGGACGCTGCTGCCCTGGTCTACAGCCGGTCAGCGCTGCCACTGGACTTTGCAATCCCCAGAGGTCAGTCGCAGTTGAACCAGCGGTGCAAGATTCGGAAATCCCACATACCGCGGCTGCATAAATGGGTAACGAACCACACTCAGTCGATGGGCGGCAGGTCGCGTGTGATGGGCCAAAGTGTCGGTACTTTCACCTCCTTTTTTTCAAGACGTCTGGCCCAGCGTGCAAGGGCAGGCAAAAACAATACCCCCCGAGTGCAATGGCAGGAGCAAGTCACGTCGTGGTGATGTGCAACTTTACCTTTCACCGACGACGGTGTCCTGGGTAAGCTGCGTCGCTCTGGCGCGAGGCACGGGAAACACGTTGAGTCGGTCGTGTACGACACATCGCCGCGTTGAGCTAATTGTTACACAGGCAAATGTCGTGTCAACGAGGCGTGGGTGCTCATTCGATTCAGCGTTCGCGTTTATGATGTTTGTAGCTACGTTTGTAGTTCACGGACTGTTATCCAATTGAGCGACAACTTTCTGTTGATCCACCGCATATGGTAAATCCACTGCTGGATGAAGGCTTCTAAAAGCCTTGGCGGATATGAGAGTTGTTTAACCATACTTCAACATATATCATAAACATATACACATATAGACCAACATGTTTATCCCCTCTTCCATTGAAGAAGATTAAATATTCACATCCATTGCTTGAAATGGAAAGTGTTGTGCATTCATCGATTTGTGAGGCTCCACGAAAAATGACGAGTGTAAGCATCCATTTGGTAAATTGTATAATTTGTCATTTAACAATTGAAACATTTTTTTCGGTGAGATTATGTTTTATCGCGTGCACTAATACACGATTCACTTGTTTACGTCTGCAAATGGGCCCGTCAATAGTTGTTTTTCTTCACTACTTTGTGTCATTTCATATTCTTAATCAATTCATGAACTGTATCGCCAGAGCGATTTGTTAGTATTGCCATTTCCCTTAATCACGATCATGAATCGAGCGAAATTAAAACTGCGGCTTATTGGCGAGACAGCGCCGAGCGGAGTACACCACGCCGGACGATTTCACGGCGCGCTCACACTTCACACAACCATCTGCGGGAGCGGCCGTTGTTTTAACTCCCGTAAAGAAAATAACGCAGAAAATTGTGGACAAAGTAAGCGAACGGAGCAGCGGCGACCTCGCGGCATACAGATGAGCTCGCCGGGCTGGCGGCAGAAAAAGGGCCCTTTGTGCGTGCCGGGGCGGACCATGGCTGGCGTTAAACATTTACCCACACATCTCGGAGGCCCCAATCTGCATTTTTATTATTGGGGCCAAACAAAGGGCCCTTGCTCGGAGTGATGTACAGGCTGTACATTTCTATTTCATTTTCAGAGCCCGTCCGAAGGGGCCCCCTGATGGGGCGAGAGGGACTCGGCCAGGCCACGATTTTGTACGTGCGCATTCAGAGACATTGATGGCTTGCCATTCGCGTCGGCCGTAGCGCGAGCTGTTCGTTAAAATATATATTTTAGTACGTGTTTGCGAGTGTCAATTTCTTTTCAGAGGCTCTTGTGCGTACGGTTTAGAACTCGTTCTCAACTCGCGGCACAATCGCGCGCAAGTATTGCACAGAGGCTAAAGCTGTGAGCATCGACGGTGAACTTGGCTTCACATTTGTGCGGTTCGAGTGGCTGTAGTTGTATGATTGTTTGTGTGCGTGCGGTCAGAAATTGTTTGAAAATGTAGTCGAAGAACGGGAGCTTGAATCTTGCGGTAATTCAACGAGACAGCAATGTATCTACAAATCTCTGGTTGAACTTCCGCCCCTGATCCCGTGCCCTTTCGTTAACTGCCGCCACGACAACAATCCCCCAGGCAGCCCGGCCGCTGCTTAGCGACCCAGTAGGGTCTTCAGATCAAATGTGCCCATCAATCAGAGTAAACTCAAGTCCTTCTCTCCACATACCTTGCAATGCTTTACCTGGCTCTTCACTTCCCCACTCAAATTGAACCAGCTTGCTTTTCCCACTACCCCCCCCCCCCCCCGCACGCCAATCAGCAGCCCCAACTTAAAATATTGCTGCAAACTTTCACCGTGTCACCATACTCCTTTGGCCGGCTAAGGGCCTAATGTTATAAATTGGCAAAGCAGCCAAGGATCAAACAGGTCAGACTCGAGCGATAGGGCTGAAGAGGCAGTGGGCTGCTGTGGGTCACTTGGCATCTTGCCTCTCATGTTTCCTGTGCAGAATGTCACCGGCACAGCAAGATCAGATGCTCGGCAGATAAGGGACGTTGATAAATATATAGTTTTAGGAAGCGATAAACAAAACGTCAACTTCGAAGGTGAAAGATACGCCGGGAAATCACCCCACAAGTGCAACTGCTAGAAATATTATGGCAATTCTGGTTTCTTATTTTATTTATTGGTGGAAGGTAGTGGAGATAAATGCGTATGCGTTTTTAAAGGCTCATTAAAGAAACAATTTCGTCGTCATCTTCAATTACGATGGTACCTATTGGTCAAATTTATTTGTGATTTTTTTTTTAAACAAAAAGCTTTCTTGTTTGATATGAAATGCATTTAAAGGATGAATTTATTGGTCTTTAATGCTTTTTTTCCTTTCCTCTCAGCTCACGGCATTCTTAGAATAAGTTGGATACATTTCATTCGTCCAGGCAATCTGTCTGCCTTGTAAAATGGCACCGCTCTTCCTAAATGTAAAAAAAAGAGAAGGACAGAAATCACAGCACGCTATGCGCACACATCGCGTGATTTATTATTCTAAAATTTATCACTGCCCATTTGCGCATTACCTGATGTACGCTAATGTAGTTTGCACAGGATGCTTTATGGCCTTACTGCGCCAGATATATATTCACGGAGCAATAAATCTAGTCTTCCTATGTCGACTGAAAAATGCTACAGCCGTGACTCTTTGTAAAACTTCTGCCTCCTAAATCCTGCTACTTTTCCCAGCAGCATTTTGACTATTTTTATGGGATCATGTATACTATTATGTATACCAGGAAAATGTCACAGACACCATACATTTAAGTTTAACGAAACAGCTGAGCTTATGTCCAGTCGTAAAATGGGCTGCAACTCCAGAAAGTGTTAACGGTTCCACGGGTCCTAACTGCCCTTGGTTGCCCTGTGGCTTGAAAAAAAACTTTTGATAGGTTTGCAAACGCAATGGAATCTTATTTGGATGCAGCAAGCAGCAGTGGATTCTGTTTAACTGTCGCCACTTTGTGGTTCAGAATTTATTTTCTCACCTGTCACTGTTGAATATCACAATCACCAAGAATTTAAAATTTAATTTAAACAGTGTGCTTATTTGAGCAATCATCAACATAATCAGTTTGATTTCATGCTAAATGGCCACGCTTTGATGGCGTAATATTTAGCGGTAACTTTTTTTTTTTTACCCCACAAAATCAGGGAAGAGAGTGACTTCCATTACTCTGCTCTGACCCATAATCACCACCGTTATTATAAACCGTTGGTGGCTGGCGCAATTTAGTCCGTAATAGCACGGAGGCATTTTGTTGGAATAATTTACAGGGACAGGGATCAGAGGTGTGTAATGTTTGGACAATACGTTAACGCCGATGGCTCTGGTGTGCCCAGCCGTGGAAGGTAAGCGGATATGCTCTGATTTAGATCATGACAACAGGAACAGCCCTATCAATTTGTTACTATGCGGAAGCTGCCAAACCGCTCACAACACGCTGCCTTATGCATTAAACATGCGGACAGCCGGCAAGGATAGTGGTTAGCGTGCTCGTCGCTGGGCCAGTTTGCTCAAGGCCCCACTGTTTTGAGTACATAAGTCGCTTAGCATTGGGAGTGGGGGATTATTTGGTTGGGCTTCAAACATATTGCTGCATGTCTTCCAAGAGTACTGCTTTATTCGCTATGCTATGGCAAGATTGCGAGATTGAAATCCCGTTTTGGGGGGGCGGTCGACTCGACCCATCATCCATCCGTGGTTGATAAAGTAGATATCACTTTGTGTGGAAACTCATGAGCGATCATCGTAACAGAGAGATTGGCAACCGCAATCGATGGGAATGTTAAATATCCATCGCCGGCTCATGGCCACCCCACCGACAGATGCAAACACCGCGACGGCGCTCGTTTGAGCGTTCGAACGCATTAACTTGCCATGGCAAATTGAAACCGAGGGTGTCCCTTTGCAAAACTGATCTACAACTACTGAAATTAATGGACTTCCGTTTGGCTATAAATAATTATAATTGAAGAGCCATTTGCCCGTTCACTGCTGGATGGGGGCCTCTCCACGACACGTCGGCCACGGGGGGGGGGGGGGGGGGGTGGTGGGGGTGGGGGAACCCAAGGCTGGCTCAGATGCCACTGGACACTTTTGTTATCCGTGGCCAGAAGTCTCACTTAGGTTGCTGGTTTCAGAGTGTAGGACACTAAGCACCGTGTCACCGATCCACCGGGTTTCCAATGAATGAAATTGAATTGAGATGCCATCTAGCGCTACGAATTTAACTGGCTAATCACATTCCGCACAAACCAGCTTTTAATGTGACGGCTGATTTTTAAAATCATCAGTTGTTTTGACACATTTGGTATATATTTACGTGTGTTTTGCAAAGTGCACGTTCACATTCCTCCCCCATTAATGAGACGCTGAGAGTCGAAGCAACGTGTCAAAATGTTTATTTTCTGTGAGACATTAAATTATATGAATTTTGATAGCCAAACTAAGGCTTTGAGAAAGTCCAACAGACCCAGGTGTGATTTTGTCTGTACCTGCGATTTAACAAAATTAATGCATTGGTGGTGCGTGTGAGACCATACGTTTATTTGTTCTTTTCACTTACAAACTTTTTGACTGCCCTACACATTTCAATAAATTATTAGGATACCCAAATGAATGCTTTTTTTAAATCCTGGTTTCAATTTGTGGACATGGGGGACATATAATTCGATTTATAAAGCGTTACATCGTCCCCCTGGGGTAGACCTATGGCGCTATGAACCTGTTGACCCCCAGTTCTATATCCGGCCGCAGGGAAAACGAGTGGCGTGTGATATCACAACCGGTCCTGGGTATCTCTTCACCAACCACCAAGCCACACTGACCGGCATGGTGAAGTATAGTCAAATACCAAAGAAAACCCCCATGACCGACACAGAATGGGCAGAGCTTCATCCACCAGCGGATTGATAAATGACCGTCTCTTATACAATCACCCGATGAAGTGCTCCAAAGTATTTTTTCTCGAGGTGTACCCTGCATTGTTTGGCATGACGTTTTGCGCTCCCTCAAAGCACGTGGAGCTGAAACGTCGGTCATCACGCCGTTCAACACGCGGCACAACCCGTGCAGCAACGACCGCAAAAAAGACTTGCGCCGAAAGCATCGGCCCTTCGAAGTTTCTGCTGGGGTGCCGTGACGCCGGCGCGACGACGACGACGATGATGATGATGGGGCGGCATGGCCCTGGCCCTGCGACAATTGCCTGAGTCCTGCGGAGGCTGCGGGTTTTTTTTTTATGGAGAACGCCACTGCGCCGCTCGCAGGGAGGGGAGAGCGATCAGATGCTGCGGGAGAGCGCACGGCGAGAGTGATTGCTCGAGTGATTTACCGCCGCATTTGTAAAAATCGTTTCTCACATTCGCAAAAAGGAAAATGCCCCGTAGCTGAACATAACTCTTTTTATTCCATCGGAAATTTTTTTTTTAACGTCGTTCATTCGAAGTTCTATAGAGACAGTTGTTGTTGTTGTTGTTGTGAGAAAATGCTTAAAAAGTGGATGTGTTAATATGCAGATTTTTTTTTATTCGTACCTCCAATTAGCACGGTTGGCTACGTACGGCGCGAAAGAAGTTCAACACATACGTATTGTGGCTTTTCATACGTTACACAGTGATGTGTGGCATGTAATTATGCAGTGCAGTTATCAAACCGTAAGAAATTATAAACCACAATTTATAGTGCGATTTGCATTTAAATTTAATTGCTCGGGTAGTTTAATTTAAAGTACCTTCATGATTGAATGTTGCATCAGCATTTAAATAGTGAAAAAAAACACACGCGCACACTTCACCGCTGAACCCATTGTATACATGTCTGTTTAAACTGTCTTAGTTTTGTTGCATGCGATGTTGGTAAGGATGACGATGTCTCGCTGTGGTTTGGCGTTAACTTGCAGAGAAATTTTGTCCTGCCCGCATGGGTGTAAGTTTAGTTTGAGAGCAGGTTTTTTTTGGGGTGGGGGGTGGTCTTGCTTACTGTCTTGAGCACAAAACTAACTCTGTCCATACATCATTAGCTTCTACTGTAACTGAGCTAAAGTATCTAAGTGAATGAGATAATGTACATCTAGAGATAATTGGATTCATTAAAGTGTAATAACCACTTTGTATGCAATACAAGTATAATTGGAACACATTACTCACAAGCACAGAGTAACACTGACTGATGAATAATTTAATCAGAGCTAATTGAATTTTTCATAATATTAAATTTAATTAGACAGTATACTGCAAATTACAATTCTTTGTGGATTTCCTGACCTCGAACGTATTAGCATCATTTTATAGCGCGCTAATTTGGGACAGATATTATTAATGACTTGGAGGCATTATAAATCAATCAGCAGTGTGCCAGGAGGCATATTGCACACCAATAATAACATTAAAGCATATTGGAATCTGCACGATACTTGTCTGGCAATCGTTTTTTTTTTACTAGGGCATTTACCCATAATTGGACATTCCCTACAAAGTTTTCATTATGCTGTTTAATCTCCTGACGGATATCGCTCAGAGTGCCCGCGTCAAGAAATTATCTTTCGTGCAGATGTTCATGGGCATTCGGGCATTCCTCGGCGTGTGTGACGGGAACGCAGTGTATGCTGGTCTCAGGACGAAAATGCGACGAGGTAAATGTCTCCCCGCTCTGCTTGGCGAGGGAGCAGAGGCATGTGTGCCGTTGCAAATAAGCCACAGATACTATGAGACTCGAATGATTCTCTATTGTTGTCCTTGGACAATAAAACATATTAAAGCGCTGAAGTTGCGAGGCATCACGGGTTTGTTTGGTTGGGATGTGCCGTAACTCCCGGCGTGTTTTACCAAAGGGAATGAAACGGCCCCACAATGGTGATGCTACCACCACTTCAAATTTTATTTACTTGTACCGGTTATTTTTTTAAATCGCAGGACTAGACTTGTATGCATCGCAGGGTGGTAGTTCATTGTTCTGTGTGGTCCTTCGCTAACTGTACCGTGTTCACTTATTAGGACCCTTTTATAAAAAAAACACACCCGCAAACCTTTTTCGTAACACATAAGCATAGCGCTAAATCATGGGCGATGAGTTATACAATTGCAACGAGGTGCATGTATGTATAAAGACAGTGTGCGTGCGTATATACAAATCGTGCTAAGACGGGCCCACTTTTGACTGTGCCATGTGGCTATATTAAAATGTGTGCAGCAGATGTGCAAAAACATGACCTGGCATTACGCTTTCAGTTTGCTGTGCAAAGAGTTGCCACGAAGAAGTATATTGAATGCAGTCTCCCGCGCACAGGCACACTTATTACTTCCACCAGCCTCTTACAATCGGGTTACAGACATTCCTCTGCATGTGGATGGAATTGTACGACTTCATTACTCTATATTTCCGTATCATCGCAGTCGGCCTTGCCTTTGTGACCGAGAGGTCGGGTTGAGACATTCGGTCAGCCCAAATCGGTGACACTCTCGTGTCGTTACGCGTAGCACGGACGTCTGCAATTCGCCGGTGATCTTCACCCCCAGTGCGCGTTGTCGCAGGAGGCAACCAACGGAATCCGTCTGGCCGTGCCAGACACTATCACCTGATGGCTTTTCCAAACTCGGCATATACAGGGCGATTCATTTAACGTTGCCCGACTGAATTTCTAATGACCCCTCGCTTACATCTCAACAGGTGATTGAACGCTATATTGTGCAATCGTCGGGCACCATATCTTACAGAAGGAAAGTGTTAAAAGATTTAATGCGTGTGTCGAGATAGGTGGGAGACATGAAGAGGCTTTGAAACAAAATGTTGTTTCCTGTTTAATTTATATCCATTGCTTTGGTGGGGTATATATATATACATGGATCACCCTGTATAGTTATCGGTTTACACTTTTAGGTTATATTTAGGTGTATTTTGACACAGGTGAAACCCATTGGGCAATAATTGCTAATATTCAATGGAGACCTGTTTAAACCATAGACAGCTGGTTCCAGCAACAACAACAAATCGTGTTTGACTTTTAAAAATTCCTTACGAAAGAGGAGTTTCCCCCCCCCCCATGTGTTATGGTTAGTGTGTGTATGCAGAGCACAGCACGCAAAGAAGAATCGAATGAAGAACGAGGGACGGTTCTTGTTTTCTCATCGCGTGGGTTCCTGTCAGAGAAGCAGATGTCTCTGCGGATGACAGTCCCACCTTGACGCCCCGTGTCAACGCTAAGCGCACTCCATGGCCAGGTGAGGCTGGGGGGAGCACAAGGGGACGGTTGGTGGATTGGTGGGTGGATTGGTGGGTAGATATATGGGTGGGTGGATGCATCTTCATCCCACAAGTGGGGTAAGATGTGGTGATGATCAGGGATTCATTTCACACTTGATGTTTTCCAGAACGCTGCTAGGCTTGCCTTGGAATAGGGATTGTATTGTCAGCGTAAGGCACTACCACTAGATTTCAAGGTACACCTATCCGTAACAATCTTAGCACTGTCTTTAAGCACATTTGATAACCCTAAGACCTGTTAACGCACGTTTTTTCAGACCACCACTGCAGACACCACACAGACACACACACACACACACCACAGAGACACACACACCATCACCACATACACCACACACACCTCCATAGTGTCATGTGAAGAGAATAATGGATGTGGCGTGCCAAAATACATCCCCGGAACATCGTTCTGTATTGTTCCGGCTGACATTAAGCACTGCTTGGCGTTCAGTGGTGGAGCTGCCGACATTGGGAGCCCTAAGCGGACCAACTATTTAGGGGCCACCTTGTAAACACTCATTCCTAGCAGCGGCTTCAGCCGCACCGAACCTCACAATAATAATAATATCCAGGTGCCTGCCTTGGCTCCTCCCACCCTCAACCAGTATATATACAAGGACTGTTTTCTTGGAATTTCTCTTACTTGATACAGCTATCGTGCTGTGACGGTTCCACCTGAAGACGGAAGCTTGTGTTGCGTCTGAAACGTCGTGATTTTTATTTGATTTTTATCTTACTTTTATTAATTTTAATTGTAATTTTTTACCTACGTGACTTTACCGAAAAAAATCTAAGAATATGAATCCGTGCAGTCACGAAAGCTTCAAATTTAGAATTGTAAACACAAATCGAGATGTAAGGAGAGATGCAGACAACATTGAGAATAGTGACATCATTTAAATGATCCATAATAGAGATTTTTTTGGGGGTTTGGTCGTGTAAATATATAATTGTGTCGTTAACACCCGCTACCACCACCCGACACAGCCAACTCGTAAGGGTTGTCACGTAAGCAGAGCGTGCCAATTCGTCACAATGCCAATTCGTGACGAATTGGCAATTAGGGCATATTTGAATTGGCATGCTCTGTTTACGTGACAACCCTTACTAGTTGGCTGTGTCGGGTGGTGGCGGGTATTAACGACACATTTATATATTTACGCGATCTAACCCAAAAACAACTCTTATGGATGATATTGGTCGCTAGAGCCTACGTGTTAAACAATTTCAATTAGCTTGTTTGTTGATTGGAATTACAATTTGAGATTATATCTAATTCCTGTTAACCCCTTATCAGTGCCCTACCTTATTACAGACCAATTCAGACCTTATTTGTCACCCCGTTCCCGTATAAATTTCAACGTTCATCCTACAAAGTCCCACCACAACGGGAGAAACACAAACAGACAATTTACTTGTGCCCGTATTGAAACGGCTGTACGCCGTATGGAGCTCAGCACTCAATGTCCCTGTACAAGAATGCGGGGTACACCGTGTGGGTGGACAGCTATGATATTGATACACCTACATACTTGTTTGTGATTCGCGGCGCACCCCGAGCTGCTTGGGGCGCCAATCTTTTTCTTGGTTCGCTTCTGCCGATCGCCCGCCGCCCCTGCGGACGGGGGGGGGGGAGAAGCGTCTGTCGGATATTCTCCCCGCTCGCCCACGGGCCGATCGGAGACGGAGGGGGAGCTTTAAAAGCCTCATGTGGGGAGCCTGATCCCTCGCCTGGTAATTAATTAAAGCTCACGTTTAACTTAATCAATTGAGCTAAACAATGAGTATTAGGGCATATTTGAAGACATCGCCGATTGCCACCCGTCAAAACAGTGCGCCGAGACTCACAGCAGGGACGATTGCGCTTGTTCCACCTTGGTCGGAGAAATTGTACGACACCAAACATTGTTCTTTTTCGAGCCGCTCTCGTGTCGCCACAATCCCCCTTTGCAATGAGCTTGGCGCAGCGCGTAATGAGAGGCTCGCGCGGGTCCTCAGTGTTGCGTGCGTACTCTCAGTGGCGTGCTTGTACCCGGCGTGCCTGCTCCTTTACTAGCTGCCTTTGTTTTTGTTTCAAAGAAACTACCAACGGTGACTTTAATAACATCAACAACAACAACGCCTACCTCCGATTTGTCCAAGAATGCCCTGGCTGGCGGTGTCACGTGATTGCACTTACTGCCGGGAGTTAACAGAGTGCAGCGTGCGCAAAGTGACCGCGCCATGCCCCAGCGTGCCACTCGTGTGCGTTGACACGCACTCCATGCGGAGCGTGGCCAAGACACCACCACCAACCCCCGGGCTTCCTGGCAAAAAAAAAGAATCGGCGGAGCGCGTTCGACAGCTCGGCTTGTTAAGTATATGCGCAAGCGAAAAAAAAATCCCGCTCAAAAAAATATTTTTCCAAATGGGACGTTTAACAATGGATTTCATTGAATGTGGCAAGGCTGCAAAATATTTTTGCTTTGATACCTAAGCTTATTTTGAGAACTCGAGTGCCTTTCATGAATTACGCCTTGTTTTGTTTTTATATTTTGCTTCGAGTTAAAGACCCACGTTATAGATTTATCACGCTGCCTACAAGCACCCCGTACAGACAAATATCGGACAGGCAATCCGTACGCACCACGGCGAACGTTAAATTAAAGCACTTTAGTAATAGCACACGCGGCTCATCTGTCGTTCCTGGAGGCAATAGCATATACAATAAAGTGATTAAGGCATATGAATGATACTCGGTAAGACTCTGTGGGGTTGGGTGGGGGTTGTGGAGGGGTGGAAGTAGCTGTGCATAGTGGGGGGGGGGGGGGGGGGGCAGCCGGGAGGGGCTGCAGGGTGACCTGGGCAGCAGCTGAAAAATTATCTGGCAGAGTTCATGACCCCAGTGCCTGGCGACCGCTGGACATCTAATGCCGCCTTATTGTGCAAAAAAGAGCCAGTGGTCGTGGCTGTCGCGCGACACACCGCTGTGCGACAAGTGTGCGCGGGTGGGGGGGAGGGCACTTTTGACCCGGGATTTTGGCAGACTTTATTTGGCCCCAGCAGGATAAGGCCGCATTAAGGTGGCGAACATTAGCTCCGCCGCGCGGCCGGGGTCAGGCCCGTCGCCTCTTTCACAAGCAAGCAATTGAGAGTGCGCAGTCAATGCGACTCTGATTGGCATTAGTCAGGCCCCCACTCCGAGTTATCGTCGTTATAATTATTCTCTGTGTTCGTGCACATGCGTTTGAGCCTTAATTTCTGTACATTCAATAGTCTTAAATCTGATTGATTAAAAACAAAATTACCTCTACGCTGTTTCACATTTAAACTGTTAGTGACAAATATAATCCGTCGATAAAAATTTTTGTTTATATTTCAGCCGCTCACCCACCCCAGTGCTCGATGAAAGCATCCTCCTGCCTTTGAGTGCGAGACATCTTTCACTGTCTTCTTGGTTCTTTCGGTAAAGTCACGTAAAGGGAAGTAATAAAATAATAAAATAAAACATAATAAAATAAAATAATTCTCACGACGTTTCAGCTACAATGCAAGCAGCCGTCTTGCGTTGTAGCCGAAACGTCGTGAGAATTATTTTATTTTATTATGTTTTATTTTTATTATTTTATTACTTCCCTTCTACGTGACTTTACCGAAAGAACCAAGAAGATGGATCCCTGCAGTCACGAAAGCTTTAAATCGAAATCTTTCACTGTGTTACACCGCACGGATCATGGGAGATCGGTGTCGGGAGAGCCCAGGGACTGCCTCAGATATCCACATGTCATTGATGTGAGTTGTGGCCGGGAATCTAACCCAGGTTTCCAACTTAATAGTGCACTGCACTAACCACTCTGTGTGTGTGTATATATACACACATATAATATCATTAAACATCTCTATTAAAGGATTTTATTTTAGTCAGCAAGCAGATGTTTGAATGCGATATGTTAATGGTTGATTCATGGTTAAGTATAAACTTTAGGAATGCATGTTATATGTCATATTTAATATGCATCATCGGGGAAAAATTCATGGATATTCAACAGAAATGTCACTAATTTCTTGTCTTTCAATGGCAGCACACATTGCTTTATTGTTCAGTTAACCTGTTATTCATTGTGCGAGTTAACTTATACAGCAACTCCGTAGCTTAAAGCCTTACCTCTTGGCGGTAATATTAAACGTATTAAGCGTACATCTTTGTTGCTGCTGCTGCTGCTGCTGCTATAATAATCATTACACAACGCATTATTGCAAACACTACAGTGGGCCGACGTGTAAAATTGTCTGCATTTCATTAGCGGAATCGGCCTGCAGGTAAGCCAGACAACACAAAAAACTCATCTCAGTGGTCATTTGCCTGTGCCTCTGTTTGTGTAACGATACAATGAGTCGCCTATGCCGATCCACTTTGGAAAAAAAAAGATATCCCGTCTCAGAAGTTTGTTTCAATGCATTCCATCCAGCCTGCTCTCATCCCCTGTGACCTCTGAGTATTTATTTAAACTCGGTTGCTCAGTGCAGACAGGGCCCGAGACTAATAATCCCGCTTCTTCCCAATAACCGTTGTATTGAGATGCTCACAAAGGCGGTGTATTTTGTATCGTAATGCCTCATTGAGGGGCACAAAACCCCGCGCTTCAAACACTGGCCTACGAAATTCTCTCTGTATCATACAGCAACTGGGTTCTTATCTGGTTACAATAACAACCTTATTGTGGGTTGGATGGACGCATGGGAAAAGCTCTTTTGCCATTTAAATGTTTTTTGTGCGAGAGGCTTAACAAGCGCACATTATCACGCTGGGACTTGTCATTTACATCTGATACCCTCGTGTATCACAATTTTCCATAATTTGTGTCTATAATTTACGTTTCACCACTCATCGTTTTATTCTTTTGCCGTGCGCATTTGTAACTGTATACCGCAAGTGTCAGATTCCATGACGTTGGCGTTTCTTGTTTAAATCGTGGTTCGTGCGTGTGCGTGTGTGTGCTCACCCTGAACGTCACACTTTACTCACGCCACCTCTGCATGAGCCGGCTCTTCGCGTGCATTCGGCTACTTTTGTAGCATGTATAAAGGCAAATATCCCCCGTATAGCCTTAACAGACTGTAGGGGCAAGTGCTGTTAGCGAGCACCTATGAAGGCCGACAGGGCACGCGAGGGGGTAGGTGGCCAGCATCACGCCCGACCGCCTTTGTCTCCCCAGTGGCGATGTTTAGACACCGCACCAGGTACTCATTTGAGGCTGAGCCGACCAAGGGGAGGCCCAGGACCGGTTCAGATAATCGTCACTGGTGTTGGCCGTGAGCGGGCATCAAACCCGGATCGCCGGGTTTGTAACGCAGCGTATACACACACAACACATATGTGTCAAAATCATTTAAGAAACAGGCATCGTTGCAAAGAATGTGCATATATGTATAAAGGACTAACAGATGGGACAGGAACGATCGAATAATTCCAACTTCCTAACTTCTCCTGCAGCTGAATAAACACACTTTATGCGAGGCTGTTTTATGCAGAGTTGAAATGGCATTGAATGGCTGCTCGGATGGTAATACATTCCTTTGTTCGCAGCCTTGTCACTCATAGTCTGCACCACACGGGCAGGAAGGAAACAAGGCGATAGGGGCAGAGGAATGGCGTTGGAAGGCGTCGGAGTAACACCGTTCAGCTCTGCATTACCGGTCTCGTTAAACGGACAGGTTATAATCTCGAAGCGTGCGCTGTGTCATCAGCAAGAGCTCGTGCTGAAATTACAATTCTCCGAGTAGTTTTACCACTCGCCGCCGCCGCCCGCGTCTGGAGTTTGCGTCGATGGCGATGGCGATCATAAACTTTGTGTCGGCTTTTCGCTCACGATTTACATTCATCCATCGCATCGCACGATTTATATATATCCATTCGAGCAAGGCATAGAGGGCAGGTAACGCAGCCAAAACAGCTAAAAAGCAAAAGACATAAACCACTCCTTGAGCGTCATTAGGTCTCGTGGGCGAGGGCCGTACATAAGCTCTGTGATGATGACAAGTCGAGCGCGAGAAGGATGTTTTTCTTGTCCGGCAGCCTCATTGGAAGGAGCAACTCGAAAGGCACCTGAGTCACCGCGGCCTTAGGATCACAGTGACGCCAATGTCGTCACATGTCCGCACTGTTCGCGCCTGCTTTGTTTCTCTGCCCCTTGTCAACCCTAGCCAGCACCTTTAAGTTATCACACTTTTTTTGTTAGTTAAACCCTATCATGATTTTTAACGCTTTACGACTCAGCGTTGAGGCGTTCGTGCATTTTGCTCTGTCCGTCTGGCAATCCGTAATGGGGTAGGGAGGATGGTGGGGCACGATAATTATTCTTGTAAAATTGTTTAATCTGAACAAATCTCTTCTAAGAGGTGGTGTTGCTGTCAGGAACTTAGCCTGTTGAAAACTGGCCACATCGATGGCAAGGGTTGCCCACGACTTGAAGACACAAAAACCCTGACAGCTTTATCATCAGCTCCCATCCGGCTAAAATTCAAAACTTCCGAAGGCAAAACGCATGTGGAAAAGAGTAACATAATCCCTGCATAGGCATCATTTTTTTCCAAACTTGTTTTCATTGGCTCCGCTAAGTTATTTTGTCCAATAATACACATTATTGATTTTCACAAACATTTATTTTTAGCACCCTTTGATTAGATTTCCCATTTTACGAGTGGCTCAATTTTTATGTAAATGTTCAGCGGTGCCTGCCCCCGTGTGAATAAATGAGAGAAGACGACTAAACGGGCTCGTGCTTTTGTGAGAAACAAAAAAAGGCAAATTGAATACTGTAGCTACTTTTTTTTTACGCTCCATATAGCAAACCACTGTAACCTGCACTTCCTTTAGCGGGAGGAATAGCAAAACTACACGAACTCGAACTCCTGAAGCCGTCTCGTCATTTGGCATTTAGCTCCCGAACAACATTGCCGTCCGCAAGGTCGGAATAGAAGGCATTGCTATTTTACCAGCAGGATTTCTCGCAAAAGAACTGGCAGCTTGCTTCGGGAGGCTGAAAAAAACCCCAACTGACAGCCCATTGTCAAGCTACTGCCGAGTGAATGCCTCCCCCATGCCGTGCCAATCACGATGGTTGTTTGACCATGCTTCAACCATGTCCATCAGTGCGGGTTGTTGTTTTGGGACCGGTTCAGATATCGCCGCACGACTGATGTTAACCGTGCCTAGGAATTGAGCTCAGATCACCGGCTTCATGACGCAGCAGCGCCCGTTCACTGTGCTACCACTCTACTCCACTAGAAGGCTACGAATGGATTTATTTTCACAATTGACGCACCATATTCTAAATATAGTCGTCGATAAAAAATACGAAAGCATGGCATGCACGTTGAGTGTCATCATCAGCCATGATTAATCCACTGCTGGATGAAGGACTGTCCAAGCCGTCACCATCTCTCACCAAAGCTGCAATGTAACGATCCACGTGTATCTGCACACGGGATATTTTCACCACTCCATCTCGACTGTGGATGTCCTCCTGGTTGCATTTTCTCCTTTGGCTGCCATTCCATTACCAGCCTTGTTCGTCAGCCATCTATTTCAGATTTTTAGATCATCCCCATTGTGGTACAAATGTAAAATGTCTTCGAGCTAACAAGAGTGATTTCACATGACACCACTTTTGTCTGGAAAATCCTGGAAGCGACGTAATAAATAGGGATGTCACTTCCTATATTTAGATTAATCCGAAACAAAGCGACATTTATTTTTCGGGACACGAAGACTTTATTATCTAGGCCTAAGGAACACATCAATAATGAAGCACATGAAGGCCATTCCTAATGTTGTGGTGGTGATGTTGATGGTGACGGTGTGTGTTGCTCACAGCCTGGTGAACTCTTCGACATGGTGCGACGGCGTGGCGGCGCAACGCGACCAAAACTTTGCTCGATGATCAAGAAAGCGACGAAACCTCCTCCCTGCTTATCCCACCCAACGAGTCGAGCGGTCAAACGCACCCATTGGCAATTAGTCAGCCTCACAATCTCCTGCATAGAGCAACCGTGAAAAGGGGGTCTGGGAGATCCATTAAAAGCGGCCAAAGAGCAGCTACAATTTATGGAGAATAACATTCCATCCCTATTGTGAGCGCGCCTGCGGCTGGGTATGTACGTCATTTTCGGGCTTCTGGGGAGCTGAAAGGGCCTCAAAGATTGAAACTACACGTTAGCATAAAAATGCAGTCGAGTTTTAACGCGTTTCAAAATCGTACAAAAGGACAGCGCTAGCCTTTTGTGGAAGGACCCTTCACAAAGAGGAGTAAGTTTGAGGAGTACGTAGAAAAGTTCAAAATAACAAGAGTTATAGCAGCAATGGGCTTTGGCAAACAGGTAAATGTTAAGTCTCTATTTAAATAACCGGTGTTGATTCAAAGTCTGCCGATGGGAGAAAAAAACACGTCACAGCAGGATGTGTGGATTGTACTTTTGAAAAGAAATACCTAATTGATGCCTTTACCCGGATCGGCGTGGATGATATCCATTTTAATTTATAAAAATGTAAGCCACTTAGCATCACGCTGTGTGTATTTTCATAGGCTAAGTGCATCGATTTCCATTGTCATTTGTAATCGGCAACGTGCTACGATATATTGCACTGTTGCCAAGTTAATATGCAGAAATAGCAAAGTCATTGCCATCATGCTGTGTTTGCAGTCCATCCATGCTTGGCCTGAAACGCTGATTGAGCTATATTTTCGCAATAAAAAATGAGGTATTCAATTATTTAAATATTGACTCTGTGTAATGGCATCTGACTGTGAGTATTAAAAGATGTCAGGAGGTTAACAGAGCACATAATAGGCACTGTATGTAAAGCTGACGCGACAGTAGACCCATTAATAAAATTAATGACAGAACACGCTCATGTGCTGGTAAGAGCTGGAATCTACAGCTCTTATTAACCTGCTGCCACAACGGAGCACAGCTCACAGCTTCAGACAACATTAGGCCAAGCTTTATGTACAGCATTTAAAGCGAAGGCAAAATTAAACACATCTATATGTCTGCTGTAATGTGCGCCTGAGCATCCCAATCCATCCATCTCGGCGTTTGTATATGTTAATGTCCACGTCCGTGCATGATCGCGTGGGGGTGTGTGTGTGTATTTGTGAGGGCGTGTGCGAAGCTAAGTTATAACCGTATCTCTGCGTTGATATAATCTTTATTCATTACGGCTATAAAGTCGGGCGAAGAAACATACCGCCGCGAGATCGGGGCATCTGTTTCTGTGAATACGGTATGTTTAACAGCTTACTTTGATGATACTCCCTGAGCAGATAATACGAAGATAATCCCCAATATATGATTTCATATTTTAGCATATTTCATAAATCTTATTATAGAGGATTATTCTAAGATATTGCCATATGGCACAGCAGTCTTATCTCCATCCTCTCCAAAAACAACTTATTAAAATAATTGTAAAGGTTCCTCTGTAGACTGCATCTTTAATGTTTGCTAAATACGAGAAATGCGTTATGCTTATCGCTGACAAAATCATGAGTCTTGCGCGTGCTTGTTTATTTTGTAAACGTTTCATAAAATTGGAATTTGCATTTAGGACAGAGTACACGCACACATATGTATAATTTTGAATTCTGTTGCTGCAGGATAAAATTGAGCGGAGAAAAATGGGCAACGTCAAAATGTGTTTTTGTCTCTCAAAAACACAGCCAAGTGTGGAAGTGTACGTGGAAATCACTTGAATTGTAAGCGTACCCCGGGCATACTATGCAATGTTTCAGTTGCTCTCAATGATTATACTGATGACACTGAAGGCTGGTTATTATGTTTGACAGGATAGCACTCTATGGAATATGACTGTCTGCTCGATCCGACACACATCTTTTTAAGGAGAACACATTTTAATTTTAACGCATTTCTTCGCAGCGGTTATTTGATCCTTTCGCGACAAACGACGATGACGACGACTTTTATTATTATGACGTGTTCTCACCGTCAAAAAGAAAAATAGCGGCTGAGTTAAAACACATGTGTGGACGCACGTGTGTGGACACGCGCACGCGCGCGAACACTCACGCGCATTGCTACAGGGACAGCCGCCATTTTAACGTCACGGGCTCAACGTCCTTTCTCCACTTCTTGTGTAAGTGCCTCACAAAAATAGTTGTGTAATGAGGTCTGAATGATTGTGCTGAAACTTGTTTCTTTTACATGCTGACCCTGCGACCTCCATAGAGCACAAATATTTGAAACCTAAATGAAGTTGCTGGCTGACTGGCTATTTGCCCTCCGATTGCCTTGCGTGAAGCGCGTGTCAGACCCTTTGCTAATTTCAAACAGTACAAAAGGACCTTTGCGATCCGTGCTGACGGATTTTTCAATATCGTCACCCATTCTGGGAAATGACGGACAAAGTGTTTTTTGGGTTTCGGGAAAATACCACTAAACAAGAGAAAAAACAACGCTCACACCTGGACAATGTGGTCCCCAGGCGTATTTTTCCATCTCTCTATTTGAAGGTCAATAACAAGCCTTTTTGTGAGTGGCCTACTTCCATTGCATGATGTGCTAACATCTTTCTGCCCCAATATCAGAAAGGAATTTCGCACATATAGGCCGGGTGGGCTGATGATTGGTGCAGCTGCTCAGAATTGACCTCCTGACTCCATTTTTAAAGCATGCAGTAACACCATCAGCTTTCAATTGAGATTTGTTTAGATTCATATAGTTTAAAAGATTCCGCTGTCTTTGGATTGTGAGCGTGTTAGGAAAGAAAAGAGCCTTGTCTGATAAAAAAAAACATGTTTTTTGCTCATAGCAAAGGTCCGTAAAACAACAATATTTGTGTAATAGAAAGTGCACGGATTTGAAGGGCATATTTTTGGGTGTCAAATTCAATGCGAAAGCATCGGTGGGTGATTTAACACCATAAAGCGGAAATGTTAAAGCAACCCGTTAAAAAAATATCTATAATTACAAAAGCGCGCGCATTCATAAATAAACATTTAATCAAACAGACGTAACTAAGGCACTCAAAATGCAGGCAATTACTGAGCGGCGTTTGCTACAAGTGCGCCGGCGAGCGCTTCTATTGTCCGGAGCACATGTGTGTCTGGCGAGCGCTGTCAGTCTTCTGACACCCATCCCATGTCCCCTGTCGCCGGCGCCCGACAGCGAGTAAATCCTCCCATCACCCCCACGCTTGCTCCCCTCGCACTCTTCACGTCGGCAGGGGCGGCGGGCGACCCAGGAGACCCGCCAAACTCAATAACTGACCAGCGGCGAGTAATCGCTCCGCGGCAAGAATAACCAAACACAGAGAAGGCGCGCGCAAACTTTTAATTTTATTTATTTATTTGCTTTGTTTTTGTTTTTGCTGCCCCACTTTTTTTTGGGGGGGGGGGGGGGGGGGGGCGGCCGGTTCCTGCAGACCGAAGCCGTTTTGGTGTACGATGGGTAAAAATAATGAAAGGAAATTCAAGTAACGGGATATTGTAAATTACACCGCAGAAATCTTACGGTGGCTTTTCTGATGAACTAACGGCACAGCGAATCACCGTTCTTGCTGTCGCTCGTTATGTAAATCGGTCCTGACACTGCGCGCCATGCTTAATGTCCTGTTGCTGAAAAAAAGCTGTTTTTTCCCCCTGCTCAAGCAGAGCCGATGTTTTTGCAATAGTGGGAGCGCAGGTCCCTGAAAGAGCAGTTAAACTACAACATTGCCCGACTTGTATATTTTCTTTAGCAGTTAGCTGAAACGCAGCTCGAAGCCCTCCCCCTAGTCCATGCGGCGAGGTACTGCGAGGCACAAGCTCACGCAGTGGCCGTGCTACGTGGCGCAAGACTTTGCAGCAGGTGCTGGAAATTCGGCGAATACTCGCACCACTCCTCAACTTGATGTGGGAATGATGCGAGGGGGAGTCCCCGTGTCCCCAGCTCAATTACGGCCCAGGTTTGCGTAATACGCACAGAGGCCCTTTGCAACACCAGGTTCTCATTATACAGGAATGTGAGATGGCTATGATGTCTCACTTCTCCCGATGTCAGTTTTCAGCAGGACCTGATGAACTGACTCAAGTGAAATGTGCAAAAGTGTCCGTTTCTTACAACACGTAATTTTTTTTCTGTTGCACAAAGGGTTATGTTTGGGACTCTGGTTGTTTTTGCAGATCCTCAGCCTAAACATCTTGCATATTTTATTTGTAATTTCAAACGCAAGTGACAAAATACACGTTTAATCATTTTGTTGCATGCATTTACATTGGCCACACTCTTCAACTGATGGTTATGAAAGGTCAAACAAAAATCGTTTTCTAATCGGTGACAGCTGATGATTGTGCTCCAAAGTTCATGCACCGAGATTCACCACACTCTGGATCCAGGTGATGTTCTCATGCTGTATTTGTGTGAATGTGTTGCTTAAATTATTCGCACATTTGATAGAATCGGTGTAAATATCTACTGGGCTGCATTGCTTCTACATGGTGATGTGGGGGGACCAATATCGCGGATCACGTCGTGATCCGTGATTTTACTCCGCTTATCCAGAAAAACGCCACCGTTGATACGCGTGGACATGTGTAAGCAGAGGGCCGGGGATAGTCGGAGGTTTTGCAGACCCCACGGCACCCATGGATCGGAGGAGTTGCGGGTAATAGGGTAACGGTTAAGATGATTTATTTTCCACATTTCCAGCCCTGATTGAAATTAGCCTTTTTTTAAATGAAATATGGAATGATATGTAAAAACGTCATGCAAAAAAAAAGATTATGGTCGACGGAAAAACCAACGTTTAACAAGTTAACTTTTCATTACCTCCCGTAATCTGCTCGAAACGTTACATTATGTTTGGGTGTTGAGTTCACATTGCACGCTATTTTAAATATTTGAAAGAGTTAAACCAATACAGATGTGTTTCATGGCAAATACAGTTACAAGATTGTTGTACGGTGAAATGTTAGCATTGATGAAGGAAAACAAACATGCCAAAATACTGCCATTCAATGTAGCTGTTAAAGAGCTACGGGTGCCCAATGCCTGTGCGTAGAAGAGGTTATGATCTCACTAAGAGCTCGACGGATTTGGAGGCACAAAAAAACGCAACCTGCATTTCCCCTAAAAGGCACCAATGGAATAATTTTCCTTTATTCATGAGGGCAATAACTTGAAAAACGAATTTGAAAGCATTTTTTCCCCATTTCCGTATAGGCCCATACTACATTTGCTCTATCAGCTAAACATCAAATCCAAACCTTTCATCAACAAAGCCGCAATCTATTGAGTACATGGGAACGTAATTGAATCCTTTTCTTTTTCAGAATAGGGAGATTGGTTGCGGGCTCTGGAGA